ACAGGTGTTGGGAATGTTAAACCAGAAAAATTATATTTGTCCTCGAGCGATGTATAATTTTCAGCCACTTGATTTTTAACCTTACCCGAAACGTGTCTGGCTAGAATTGCCCACTTGAAGCACTGTTGGTCCGAGTTTTGAGGATTGATAATTGCTTTTTTATTTTTAATGTCCTCTGGAAGTGAAATATAAGACGAACCACACATAGGCGTATAATTATATACTCCTAACAGTAAACCATCTATTGATTGTAACGTAAATCCACTTCCTTTAGAAGTATAAATTTCTTCTTCGAGCAAAAGATTGGCAAAATCTTGATTAATTTTAGCTTCGATATCTGTATCTATAAACAATTCCTTAGCTGAGGTCTTAAATGCTCTATTCTCGGCTGAATTTTCCACGTTCGGGCGTTCATATGTTGCTTCTAATTTAAGATTATATTTAATTGGTTGTTTTGTTGATAGTGATTTGAGTAGTTCTATTAAGTCTTTTTTTATTGATTCTAAAAATGTTCTGTAGGTGGTCAAATTATCAGTATTTTTCACGTAATACCAATTGATTTTATTCGATAACGATGTGCCTGTCTTAATAAATCCTCGTGTCTTGGCGATGCTCATGCGTGTTTTTTTAGCATTTGCTGCTTCGTTCGAATTTTCCGTATGATATGGGCGCTTATGACCATTGCGAGATTGAACTGAAAAAAAAAATAATTTACTATTGTTTTGCTAAACATTATAGAAATGCATGTTACAGCTTGAAAATCTAAAAAACTTTTTAATGAGATAGAAAAGATAAATTGTTATAAATATAAAAGTTTTTTAGTAAAAGTACTTGAAGAAATATTAAGAATTTAAAAAAAAAATGTGATTATCATATAGAAAATACGATTTTTAAAAATATACAAAATGAGGTAGGTGTCAAGCTCTAGTATTACATACATGTATATATATTATATATGCAAAAGCAAAAACAAATATGATATAGACCTCTCAGCTATAGTAATAATACACAACGTTCTTTTGTGTAGCATGAAATAATAATATTAACAGTAAGATGTATAATATACGCTGGCGTTCGTAATAGTTTATTAAGATCTTTAAATAAAAAGTCTGCCTATATATGTTTTTATTGGTATTATATTAAATATGTATACGTTTTCATAGAAAAATAAGATACTCATAATATTGTATTATATATATATATATATATATATAATATGGTCAAATATATTTATTAAAATATCTGTTTATACTTAAAAATATAATATATAATAAATTAAAATTATTTATGTATATTTTTAATAGCGTTATGACAATAATCGTATGGAAATATTTTCAATTAATATATTATTACATGTATTTATTAAAATTATTAAACAATTTTACGAACATTTATAAGATATATATACATATGATCTTATCGGGTTAACTATATGATAATTATAGGATTTATCAGGATTTTATCTAAATTATGATATGTTTTCTATGATTTTATACAACTTAGTATATTTTTATAAAGCAATATTTATTTTAATTCATCGATAAAGTAAAAATTCTACATGAAGTGTTCTATTTTTTATGAAGTACCTAATATATTTATAATTACCTAAGTATGTTATACATATATAAAGTTATGAATAATAATATATTTACCATTATAATCGTAAATGTGTTCAGCTGGTGTAAAAAAATCTTGAATTTCTTGCTTGGTTATGGTTGGTTGTTGATGAATTACAATATTTGAACCTGAAAAATAGTAATATTTTGGATAGGTACTTGAAAAAATAATTCAACCAACAAATTACACTTTGTTTAACACATTTATTATATATTACTTTTAGATAAGTTTTAATGTAATAATTAAACATGATGTACGTAGCCTTGATTATATATATAATATATATTGTATCTAATAAATCTGTAAATAGTTCAAAAATACTTACGATGTTTATCCTTGCTATGTCTGATGAGGTTATCTTTTCGCGTGAATATTTCTGAACATATACTGCATGAAATCTTGTTGGAAACATCGTGTGACTTGGCATGTCTGTGTAGACTACTGATTCGAGTAAAGGTTTTACCACATATACTACACGGGAACATGATTACGTTTGATGAAAACTGAAGAATACTAGTCGAACTCGCGAAACAAGTCTTTACCCTTCAACGAATAGATTGGTAATGAATTATAGAAAAATATATTGTACTTTAAATAACAGTGTGAAATAGTTTTATCTGAGCGAATTATTAACGTATGCGCTAATATCAGAACTAGTGTTGGAAAAATGAACTACGGTGTTCATTAAAGCAAAATAAATAATTTGATTTTTATAAAACTTGTAAAATATTTGTATACACTTTAAAAACACTTAAAAACTCTGAAATAACACGACTTGTCACTTGAACGGTAGTAAACGGACTGATCTCATATTGCTCTGTGTACTATACATTATGGCTGGAATTCTTCGACAATACTCGAACGTGTCACTACAGGCTTGTACTGGTCTGTAGTCGGATGATGTTGTTAGGGTGTGAGGACGGGTGGTGGGGTGTAAAATATAATTTAGGGTGGTACTCTGTTGGATTGGAATGTTTTATTTCTTATAACTGTGACCATGTGTGTGTGTGTGTGTGTGTGTGTGTGTGTGTGTGTGTGTGTGTGTGTGATACATTTCGATGTATAAAGTATGCTTTAGCGAGATGCTTTAAGTTCGAATGGGATTATAATCTGAAAATGGTATAATATTTTTTAGATATGTGTTATGTTGTTACCTTATATGATATTATGAGCATGTATGTATTGTATGTATGATATAGTCGATACATATTTACATCAAAATATTTATTTATTTTTTTTTATTTTTAAAGGGAAAATAAGAGAGGGGTAATATATTTGTTTAGGAAGGGGTAAAATATATGTCAGACAAGTGTTCGATATAGTCGATACAAATGTATATTAGAAGATTATAATTTTTTTTTTAAATGGTAAATAAAAGGGGAGGTAATGTATTTGAAGGGGAAGGGGTAAAATATATGTCAGTCACTTGTCGGATCAAGTGGCGTGCGACGAGTTTATATGTGTTGCGGGTTGCCTATATTGAGTAATTAATACAAGTTTGGGAGGTGCGTGTACTTCGAATTGCCTATACAGAGAAGCCTATGATTTTACATGTAAAATTTAAGGGGGAGGTGCTGCTGAACCTACATATTTATCCTACTGCAACGGATTAACCGATCTGAACCAAACTTGGCACGGTGATAGTGTGGACATCGCTGAGTGCCAACAAGTGGTTTTGATCGATGTCCGACCATCGAGGAATAATCACCGACAAACTAAATTTAAACTAATTTTGTTTCCATAGAAACATAGACATTAATTGATTATTATACTAATAACAATGTTGTTCTTCCGTGGTTATAATTTGTTAGTTTGGTTTGTCATTTGTAATATTTAAGAACAATTTGTTAAATATAAATGTTTGAGAGTTATATTTGAGAGTAAAAACGCTTCCTCGAACAAAAGCATGTCCCAACGATAGTGTCATCTTAATTTGTACCTTTTCAGTTATCAGAATCTATCAAATCCATGTCATTCAAAAAACAAGTTCAATTAGCTTTGGTGTGTTTAACTCGCTCAGCTCAATTTCTTGCAATCAGCGAACCGCATTGCAGTCCTAGTATATTATAAGTTATAACCGTGTCACTCACAGCCGTAGTAACAACACCGTACGATCGTTAACCCTTAACACGACGTAATAATAATAAAGAACGGACTTACACTTTTCTTTATACTAGAGCAAAAAACGTATATTCTGATAATAATAAGGCCGGCGATCGCCGATACAATATGTCACGCGGGACCGGACCAGGGTGGCTAGTATTGCGATGTGTTAATGTAACACAGGGTTATAATCACAGTGTAATATACTGCCAAATAACACGATATTGTTAATTTTGAAGTACCGACCCGTGTTACTGAATCATAGCACCAAATGAATGTGATATAGTGAATAGTGCCATCTTTGAGTCATTTTACTAGATTGGAAAGAACTTAGGATTGACAAACGCACACCATCGTACCTCCAAGTTAACAGTGCCATTCTAATTAATTTTAGAGAGTGTCATTAGCTAGAGAATACGAGGGAGAGGCGTAAAGTAGGTTTACCACGTATTATCCAATACGGGTGATACGACAAATAATATCATTGTATAAGAAAAACGATTCTGAGCGGAGACGGTTTATAAGTCTGGATTTTTTAATTTTTTATTATTTATTATAGTCTTTAAGTTGAATTAATATTAAAATGTTATAATATTTGATTCGTTTCTACGGTGATAAATAAATCGTTAGAAATTAAAATTCCATTTTAAGCGATTGTTCGTAATTTTTCAGTAGATTTTCCCGTGGCATTAAATAACTTTTGAGAAAATCGAAAAATGACTTCTTTAAAGTACCATCTTGATCCAATGTGCTAAAATATATGGTACTATATTTTGAAGTCAAAGCACTTTTTCTGGTAGAAATTTTGTATACAGGATATAAAAAATAAACACCATTGTAAAACCAAGGTAGTTAAAAGTTCGTTTAGGTTTTTATCATTTATACCGTTTGGACTAGTGAAATTACCTTTATCAGTGATATAATATGGACTTTGATATTAATTATGTTAGGTACTTTATTAGATACTTGACAAATATCTATTGAAAGTCTATTATTTACTATGTATTTACTATGTGTTATTACTAGGTGGTTTAGTTTTTTCAATTGCTTAATTGCTAATTTACATAACTATACAATAATATATAAATTGATTTACCTATATTAACCTAACCTATTCAGTATTCATACTTAAAAATATTATTCGTCCAAATAGAATTTTTTTGTGTAAAAAAAAATACTCGCCCACTCTAAATATATCTCACTAAATATCATTACTAATATTATCATTATTATTAACGACACGTCATATTGTTCAACAGGTGTTGGGTGGCACGAGCGTGATGAACGGTATGATGTACATGCGAGGCAGCCGGCACGACTTCGATGGCCGGGCTAAGATGGGCAATCCGGGATGGAGCTACCAGGAGGTGTTTCCGTACTTCCTCAAGTCCGAGGATAACCACCAGGCGACCACCATGGAAGCCGGTTACCACGGGGTCGGCGGCCCTCTGCCGGTGGGCCAGTTCCCATACCACCCACCGCTGTCGCACGCCATCCTGCAGGCCAGTCTGGAGCTCGGCTACCAGGCGCGTGACCTGACCGGTGCCCTGCACACGGGTTTCGCAATCGCGCAGACCACGTCCAAGAACGGTTAACGTTACAGCATAGCTAGGGCGTTCCTGAGGCCGGCCAAGGACAGGTCCAACCTGCATGTGATGCTCAACGCCACTGTGGCCCGGGTGCTCATCGACTCTAAGAAGAAGGCGGCGTACGGAGTAGAGGTATACACGAACGGACGGGCAATGACGATCGGTGCACGGCAAGAAGTAATCCCGTCAGGCGGCGCGGTCGCCTCGCCCCAGTTGCTGCTGCTGTCGGGCGTCGAGCCCAAAGATGACCTGCGTGCCGTTGGTGTGCCGGTCGTGCACGATCTGCCAGGAGTCGGCCGGAACCTCCACAATCACGTGGCGTTCTTTGTCAACTTCCGCATTAACGACACGTCAACGACGCCACTGAACTGGGCCACGGCCATGGAGTACCTGCTGTTCCGGGACGGGCTCATGTCCGGCACTGGCATATCCGAGGTGAACGTCCAAGTACGTCAACCCCGCCGACGACAACCCCGACCTGCAGTTCTTCTTTGGTGGTGTTACTGGCCGACTACGCCAAGACCAGCCAGGTGGGTGAAAAGTCGGGCAGTGGCGTGGGCGACGGCCGGCGAACCATCAACATGATACCGGCCGTGTTGCATCCCAAGAGCCGCGACCAGCTCAAGCTCAAGTCGTCCGACCCGCTCGCTCACCCGGCCATCTACGCCCGGTACCTGAGCCATCCCGACGACGTTTCCGTGCTAGTGGAAGGCATCAAGATCGCGATTAGGTTGTCCGAGACACCTGCGCTCCGCAAGTATGGCATGGAACTGGACCGGACGCCAGCGATGGGCTGTGAGCACCTGGAGTTTGGATGCGCCGAAACACCGGACCAGAGAACCACCAGGCCGGAAGCTGTCGGATGGGACCACCGAGCGACCCGGGAGCCGTCGTCGACGCAGAACTCCGCTTGCACGGCGTCGACAGGCTGCGAGTGGTCGACGCATCCGTGATGCCGGCTGTTACTTCCGAAAATACCAACGCTCTGGTGGTGATGATCGCCGAAAAGGCGTCCTTCATGATCAAGGCCCGGTGGGTTGGCCGGAAGCCGTGGAGCAAGTGGTAAGACGACTGTGGCAGCCGAGCGGCGACGTCCTATTTTAATAGTTTTGTAACTATATCGGTGCTACACAATCGTTTTAAAACTGCAAAACAATAATATTATACAGTAGTTATTGCATATAGTTAAAAACACATACACTGGCAATTATTTTCGTTCCTGTAGTATAGACTAAAATATATATCTATATATATAAAAATGAATGTATGTCAGTGTGTCAGTGTGTCTGTGTGTCCATGTTACCATGGTTACCAAGGTTGCCATGGTTACTAAGGTTACCAAGATTTCATATCAAAAATGAATGTATGTCAGTGTGTGTGTGTGTGTGTGTGTGTGTGTGTCCATATTACCATGGCAACCATATCTGTATATAAAAAACAGTAAGCTGATTGACTGCTATCAACGCACAGCTCAAACCATTGGACGGATCTGGCTGAAATTTGGCATACAGATAGCTATTATAATATAGACGTGCGCTAAGAAAAGATTTGCCAAAATTCGCATTTTAAATAGGTGCTGAAACAGGGACATTGAGATTCACGATAGAAATTGGAAATTTTATTTTTATTTATTTATAGTTGCCATTGGTTACAGTCTACATTAGAAATTAGCATTTATTTATTGGTTGCCATTGGTTATTCGGGCAGATCAGGTACAAGCTTGCATCAAATCGAATTATTGAACAATGCTTACCAGGGTGGCAGAGTTGCACTTACCGCAGAAAATTACACCCAAAAGGAGTTCAACAATCATAATTTTTTTAAGAGTTGCGATTTTTTACGAGCAACCAAATTTATTATATTAATCCACAGTATTACATCAAAATAAACTTGGTATAACTTTGATACTTTAGAGTTAAATCATACACTTCCGTACAAACAGCACGGGGTCCGCGATCTACCGCAGGTAGATTGCCTACCTGATAATGTACTGCTGCGATTCAGAATTTTTATTCAGGGCAACGGGAAAGATAAGATAAATTTTGAACACCATACACGTTAATGAATTGAACAAAGTTTGAGTAGGTAGTATTGAGTTGATCCATTTAACGGGCGACGAAGTGCACGGGATCAGCTAGTATATTATAAAACATCACCAACACGATATGCAAAACCAATATTAGCATAATAACTGACTAGGTACCGCAGCAGGCATCGAAATGATATCGCAATGCGAAAGTCAATAATTACGATCATCACTGTCTCTTGAACAAATATTTTATTTTTGTTATAACATTATAAATTCTATAAATATCAGTGATGACAACAAATGGAATATTATCATTGCTTGTTAGTGATCATAATTTTATTCACATTCATGTATAAAGTTTAATTTAATTTTGAATTTATGTATATTGTATAATATTTTTGACACAAAATTTATTTTTGCAAAACTAATCCTAGTAGTTCCATTCTGGGAATTTCATTCGGAAAAATTAATCAGGGCACCCCAAAATATTTTGTCCCTCCACGACTCCACATTCCCAAAATTAAGCACTTATTTATTTAAAATAAAAATCATCACCTAACATTATTATTATAATATGTTTACCATTTACATCCATCTCGTACAGTACCGCACCATAATGCTTTATACCACTCGCACGCTTAGTCGTTATCACAAAATTATAAAAAAATATCTCAACTTTAATACACACTATAATGTACTATACCAGGATATTAATATACCACTCGTACGCACTATCACGGCGTAATGTATCCTAAAATAATTGAAAATATTATCTGCATTAATCTTTTAACATGGTAAATGAGTAGATAATATTTTACCAATCCATGGCTTAAAATGTTACCACTACTAAAATATCCTACACCTCCCCTCCCCCCATCTATCACATGGATATCTATCCCACCTAACATCATGTATGTAACCAACCAGATCCACCCCCTCCCATCTATCATAAGTAAATCCGATGAATCTGACTACCTCATCCAGCCTATAGTTCTATGCTATCGCATACGTGCTCGACTATGCCTGGTAATACCCGTTAATACCCTCCCTCTCCCATACATATTCCTACGATCCTACACCGTAAGTGATATATATATTATATATTAACCTCATCACACGCCTACTATGATGTCTAGTCCCCCTAATCATCCTAACCTATACACCTGCTATCAAGTACGTACACAACCATATACATCATACCATACCATACCCTTCCACATCCATCAATACCTAATGCGTGTCACACATTTCCCCCTACCTATCATCAATACCTAGTACTTACCACACCATACCCTCACATCAATGTATATCACTAAAAATATAGTCATCATATAATATACCTCCATCACCCACACCTTGAAAATTATACTTAAATAATAAATCGAATATTCTAGTATAGGTGCCATACCTCCAAGCATATACATACATTGATAGTTACATAAATAATAAATAATATTATATTAATCAATTATAATAAATAAAATGCTAATACACCTCTATTACCCTCACCTTTAAAATTATACTTAAATCTACTATACCAGTATACCATATTTCTAAGCATACATCAGAAGTATGAAAATCTCACGAATCCAGACTACTCCGTCAAGACTGTCCCTACTCCCTAGTCTATGAGAGTCAATACCGTGCGCAACCATACACATCATCATCTCATACCATACCCTTCCCCTACCATCGATACCTAGTGCATACCAACCCCATACTCCTCCCTCCCATCAATGTCTAACATATACCACACCATAATCCTCCATAGGTTAGGTTATAGAGTACTAGTTCTTAATCAGCCTAGTCCATCCACACACCTACTATCACGTACGTGTGAGACCATATACATCATACTACACCACTTCACTACAATCAATGTTTAGTATAATATACCACTGAATTAGTAAATTAAATAATATAATACTATTTAAAACGTACAATTGATATATTAGGAAAGAATTTCTATATATTATATAATATTTATATAAACACTATATTATACTATACCTACTGTATTATCAATACCTAGTACATATCACACCTTACCCCCACCTACCATCAATGTCCATCACTAAAAATGTATATATTATATAATTCTCAACATAATGACAGGTAACTTTATAGTTATCTAAGACATTATTATATGAGATATGTTTAACATTTCACATACATATATGATATATATATATATATATTATATTATTATAGTTTTAAAATATAGAATAATAACAATATTATAAACATGATAAATGATTAACTAATAGTCTGTTTAGCAAAAACATTCTTATTTCTTAATTTAACGAATCGTTAAATTATATATCCATACATTGATATTATATAATATATTAATAATATGTAAACCATATAAATAAGTTATTATTAACGATACCTCATCATATTTAATCGATGTGAAATATGAAAGTCTATGTGTATAACTTATATTTAATAAATATTAAAACTATAGCGATTTTTTAACAAAAAAAAATGTTATGCCTCTAGAGAGAATCGAACTCCCGACTCCTAGTTTACAAGACCAGTGCTCTAACCACTGAACTATGGATGCCATATTATATCTATAACTGAGTAAATTGTTATCTCCATTACTCACACCTTAAGAATTATACTTCAAACTACTATACTGATATATCATACTTCGATTATCTTCTTCCGATAGTAATATTTAACTAAGTGTAAAATTCTATCTAATTATCAGACATATATATTATTACGCTTTAATATATTATATACAAACACCAACGACTATATACGATATTACTAAATTTGAAAGTGTTTCACTTTTAATTAACCTTTAATATCTGTAGGAAAATTAACAACCACTGATAATATTATAAACGATCAAATCTAATTTAAATGATATTTCGATATATCGTCTTTCAATGTAATGATTATACACAAAGTGTATGATATTATTATATCAATGTAAATAATAAAAATTTTAAAAATGTCTATTGTTATATAGTAGTATTATTATTTTTTTAAAATTATATATATTACATACAGTAGTAAAATCCTAAATTGATATGCTTAATGAATATGAAAATAATAAATACCTATACGTTCTATCCCGCTTTAGGCTTTTCTATGTATGAAATCAGTATACAATATAACATATTATGCTTAACCCTTAGAGATTATTATATGTTCAAAAACATCTGATAATCATTGAAATGCTAACTCTCTAAGTTGTATACTATGTTATATTATGTTATAGGGTAAAACAAATTATTTTAAAACATGTTTCATATGTATAATATTCATATTAAATTAATAACACCGTACGATAATTATCTATAATTAGCTACTAACTATTATAATATTTTCAATTAGAAGTCATAGAAAATACTAAATATTACAATTCAAACTTAGTAAGAATATTCATACTAAAGTAATAATATACAATGTTATTTTTTTATTTGATAAAATAATATTAACTTAACAATATTAGACCTCTATTTCCGATATATCGTATAAATACTGAGGAGGGATATTTCAAATAAAATATTTTTTACTTTACACACGAGATATAATATAT